GATTAATTAGGACAGGTTAGATTAAAATATTCTAAAACTAAACTAAAAAGTAATCGATCTGAAACGGATCTTAGAGAACTTCTTGCTACTCCTTCCTTCCAATTTTGGCAATCTTATAATATGCATTTAATTTATTAGTTGGGGGTGGAGTCACGCATAATACTTGATTAGCACGGCTAGCTATACTAACAAAATATACAGGAGGAATCAAACTTATATTTAAAACAATCCATTCTTATTTCATTAATTAGGTTGGATCTAGAAACTATTTTAGTGCACAAGAAACAACAATGCCTGCGTACTCAGGATATATTTGTAGGGACTTTGACAATTAGCGTTACATTAAAAATTTTTAGAGGGCACGTATGCCTGCGTACACGTGTTCATGCATGTTACACGTGGTGTGCCTGCCCCTTAGTAATTAATCTTAGCTTTACTTTATATAGATTGAGGCACGACAAAACTGTACTCTCAACTTCTTGTTGCTTATTTCCTCTTTAAGTAACTTCTTAATTGTTGCCTAATTCCGCTTTAAGATACATGTTGAAACTGAATTTTCCAGTTTCCGGCAATTGGCTCGCCATGCCGAGCCTCAATTTCTCTCCTGCCTCTGTCTCCTGCTCCTTCAAAATGGTTAGTTTTTTTTTTCTTTTTTTTCTTTTTTTTTTCTTTTCCCCCCTTTACATGCCTGTTTTCCAAGGATTCTATTCACAAAGGAAAGCAAGCGAAAATATATAAGGTCTTGTAGAATTAAGTTTAAGTTCAATATATATGTTTCGCCGTGTAAAGTTCGACTAACAAACCGTAATACAATTATACGGAGGGATGGCATTTCTGCAAACGTAAAATGTACGGTTAATTTCACAAAAACCACCCTAACTCTTAGTTTTTTTATTTTTTAAATAATATTATTTTCTTAGGGTTTTGTTTTTTTGTTTTGCTTCGGGGTTTTTTTTGGGGGGGAGTGATTGGGGGCGTTCCAAATAATCCCATAAACTTTGTTTATCTCGCATAATCCCCTGAATTGTGGGGTGTCTCATAAAACCCACTGAACTTTGACCTTCTCTTCCCGGAACACCCTACATGTTATTTGTAAATAAATAAGATTTCCTTAAAAATTCCAGAAAACTAAGAGAAGGGTGCGTTGCCTGTAATGAGAAATGATAAATTAATTTCGTATGTTTTCTCTCAAGGACATTATATACAATTAGTTGCAATAACAATGAGGTTCGATGAAAAAAGGTTAAAGTTAAAAAATTTTTGTGAGACACTCTACGGTTGAGGAGGTTACGTAAGATGAACAAATTCAAGAGAATTATGTGAAAACCATCCAAAATTCAGGTGGGTTATCTAAAATTAACACTAGAATGTATTTAAGTGCCCCCCACACTCCACTCAACGAGTAAATTCTTTGGTGTAAAGTCTAAACTTTTGCCTGTTCTTCATGTCCTTATTTTCACTTGCTTTCCTTTGTGAATAGGATCCTTAGGCACCAAATATGTATACCGAACTTGAAGAATAATGTCCTCAAAGTGTATGTATAACCTTCCTATATATTTAAACGTACAGAAGATCCAAAGGTCCACATCCCTTGGAAAAAGAACCAATCTATGTCATGCAACACTGGACAATTTCGTGGATTCAGGAAACCGATCACGACGATCTTCTGGCTATCAACCCGCTGTTTGGAACCATCGGCTCATCGAGTCCATTGGCAGTCATTATGATGTAAACTTTTATTTCTGTTAATTTACTATTTACACTCTAGCTGCAGGTTAGCTGCTTCTTATACTTAATTTGAAACATTTTTTATAATCAAAACTTTCACACTTATTCCAAAAACAGAACTATCTTAGTGATTTTTGTTCTCATCATATCTGTCACACAACGTTAAATTGTTGCTAGGAGATCTGATATTTCAAAGGTCACAGGGATTATCTGCTACAGTGAGGGGCTACGCAAACACAGAAGGTATCTATACAAAGTGAATAATAACATAGTACGACCTAATCACAATAGAGATAGAGAACAAACACAGAAGGTATCTATACAAAGTGAATAATAACATAGTACGACCTAATCACAATAGAGATAGAGAATTAGCACACAAAGATTTAACGCGGTTCGAATAATAACATAGTACGACCTAATCACAATAGAGATAGAGAATTAGCACACAAAGATTTAACGCGGTTCGATCACTATGACCTACATCCACGGACGAGAACATCTCCTACGTCCACAGACGAGAACAACAGAGGAATTCATAATCATAAAAGAGAAGATTATAAGGGAGATCACTCTCTAACCCCACCAAAGAATCACACAACGAGAGAAATTAACTCTCTTGGTCTCTCTCTTCTCTCTAACTCCTCTCTATATCCGATGTCTCTAACCCTTCATCACTCCTCCCCCATTTATAGCATTTTAATTGTAATGTAAAATATGTAATGGTTGGTGTAATAGGTAGGCTAGGCTAGGCAAATAGTTGGGCTTAAGTGGAGGGACTAGGGAGTTGGGTGAGTCAAATACAAATTTTATTTTTCCTTCTTCATACAAAATCACGTGTAACATTATCTGCAACTCACCCCAAAATTCACGTGGGTTTCGTGAGATTTGCTTCTGAAAATTATTGTTTAAATTCTGAAAGCAAACACATGAATACATGATGATCCACATTCCTCTCTGAAAAAACATTCGTTCTCTCAAAACTTGCAGCATGCAAACTGTTTAAGATTGAGGACAATTGAATTCTCTTCCTATTTCTTCTTGTGATTTTCTACTCGAAACCATGTTGAAACCAAAAGTTAAAGTTTCCTAACATCGGTTCGCCATGGCGAGGCACAACTATATTTCTATTCCTATTTCTAGTTTGGTTCAATTTCTACAAATTATAGGAAATGTTTTCCACCCAAAATATGATTTCCTTGTATTTCATAAAAAAATTATAGGAAAAGTTTTGAGAATTCAAAAAATACCACTTTTCTTGTTTTTTTACTTTGCTTGTTTGGTTCAAAACAAGAAAATGACCCATAACTCTATAGAAAATAGCAAGATTTTCTATAATTTGTAGAAATTGAACCAAACACCCCTAAATTTATAGAAAAGTGTCAACTTTATAGAAAAGTGTCAATGTGGTGTCAGATTTCTGGGTGATTTCCGCCCATTTTGAGAGGAAATTATTTTTTGTAAATTTTGATACTTTTTTGTACTTTACAAAAATATTTCTGTAAATTTTTTTGAACCAAACACAGTTTACGGAAATCTACAGAAAATTTTTAACTACAGAATTATCATTGTCAGACATTTTTAGAAAACTTTTCTATAAAATTCTGCAACCAAACACCCCCTAGTGCTTATTTTCAAGAATCCTCAGGGCACCTAGTTATGTATATACATTGATGTTGAAGAAGTAATTACGCTCAGTGCTCTCTTTCTCTCTCTATCAAAATGCAGAAGCCCATGCAAATGTTCTCATACCTTCAATCTAGAGCTAACTCAACAGCCTCGGACTACTCAGTGGATTCAGGACCACGACGATCTGCTGACTATCAACCCGCTATTTGGAGTCATCAGTTCATCGAGTATATTGATACCCTTTATGATGTAAGTTTTTAACTTTTGTTTTAGGGTCTGTTTGGTTGATTGCTAGAATTATTGAAAAAGTGTTTTAATAAAAAAAATTAATTTTCATATATTTCCATGGCTTTCTTGGAAAATATAAGTTTTGGTTTGGCTCACCATAGAAACAAGGGAGGAAATAGATTTCCTTGCTTTACTTGTTTAGGATCAAATGAAAATTTTTAGGAAACCATGAGTACAAGAGAAGCTTCATCATACTTTAACATTGAAATCGATCAATCCATCAACTCTTCAACAACCCTCCCTATGTATCTACTGACTACTCCTCTATACTTGTAGGAGGATCCTAAGATTCACTATTTGTGCTACAGCAATACAACATAAATTACTGTAGCATAAACAGAAAAGTTTGCATTTAAAATAAATTACTGTTACATTTACAAAATTACTGTAGTATTTAAAAAAGAATTACTGTATCAAAGCAACAAAAAAAAAAGAGGGACGTGCTTTGCACGGGATGCACACTAGTTAATATTAAAGCTAACTTTTCTAACGCATTTCCAAGCTCATAACTAGGTAATGAGTTTCTCAACTTCCAGAAAAAATTGCATTGTTCTTTTTTCTCCCCTTTCTTTTTTTTTTTTTTGTTTTTTTGTTTTTTTGTTTTGCCCCACTCAAATGAAAGAAAGAAGAAAGGAATTCGATAAATCCTATTCTTTGGTGGAGTGGAAACCCTCTTCGAGGTTATTTCTTGATATATCGCATGTACTTCTGGTTATTTTTATGCGCTTAAATATTCTATTAGCCGCTTGACCTTCTGATCCCAGAATGTACTTCTGGTTATTTTTATGGTAAAAGGTTATTTCTTGATATGTCGCATGTACTTCTGGTTATTTTTATGCGCTTAAATATTCTATTAGCCGCTTGACCTTCTGATCCCAGAATGTACTTCTGGTTATTTTTATGGTAAAATATCAGAAAATCCCTTCAACTTGTTGAAGGATTATCAGAGACCTCCATAGCTTTCAAAGTATCAGAAAACCTCAGAAAATCCCTTCAACTTGTTGAAGGATTATCAGAGACCTCCATAGCTTTCAAAGTATCAGAAAACCCTCCTTTAGTTAGCGGTTATTAGAAAACCCTCTTTTAACTTTAATATTCTATTAGAAAATCCTTCAAATAGGTTGATTGTAATTTTCACAGGCGTGGGTAAATGTAGCGGACATTTTTGCTAGTGAAAACTAATCATTATTGCTAATTAATAAAATAGATGATTAAACTGTATATTCAAAAAAAAAATCTTGAAATATATTCATTTTATAACGCACTCTCCTGACTTCCATCTCAAAGAAAGAGGATGTCAAGGCACGGATTGAAGAATTAAAGCAGGGAGTCAAGCAATTGCTTAGGGAAACCGAAGATCCGACGGCCACACTTGAACTCATGGTTTCAATACAACGACTTGGATTAGCTTACCATTTCCAGAAGGAAATTGGGGATAAGCTACAAGAAATCTACGTTGATGGATTCAAATCTTTACAAGGATTGAAGGAGACTGCACTTTGCTTTAGACTGCTTCGAGAACACGGTTACAATGTATCCTCTGGTACGATTTATCTCATTCTACTTTCAAATAATTTTGTGGGTATATTTCACAAAACCCCATGAACCTTTGGGGTTTCTTGCTCAGAAGGACAAATTTTTGAAAAAAACCGTTTTGCAAAATTAATGAGCAAAATCGACCTCCTCACAAAAAAAATTGCAAAATCGACCTCTTTTATTTCAACAGGTTGATCTTGCTGCGGGTGATTTTTTTCAAACCAAATGGGCGGGACTAGTAGTCCCGTCCATTTCGTGCCAAATCCCCGTCTCCCAACCACCTCCTTCTCCTCCGTCACCCACCTTGACCTCCCCCCCTCAAACAGCCACGAAACTACCATGGAAACAAAAAACTTGAAAATCAAAAATCCTAATTCACCAAATCTATACAACTGCAAAGCCAAAGTAAGAAAAACACTGGATTTGCATTCACTACTGCAGCTGGAATTGAAATCAGAGCTTCCTCTATTCTTGCTCTCACCAATTCCCATCCTTCACTGTCCCCAGCCAACCCCCTTTATCCTCTCCATCGCCAGTCTCATCAAATCATCATCAACCTCCTCCTCCTCATCATCATCATCGTCGTTGTCAAATTCTGAGCTGACCCAATCAAGAACACACCTCGGCGAAAGCTCCGGTGCAGTCTCCGCCTCAAGAAACGGGTGCCGGAGCAGCTCCTCCGCCGTCCACCGCTCCTCCGACCTCCTCTTCAAGCACTTGTCGAGAAAATCTCGGACCTCGCTCTCGCCGGACGACGCACCGGGTGATAACAACTTGTGTTGTTTGAGGGGAGGAAAGAGGGGAGGGGGCTATGAGATCGGAGGAGGAGGGGGGGCGATATTTTGAGGGGAGGGGCTCACGGGTGGGGAGATCTGTTTCAGGGGAAGGGGCTCACGGGTGGGGAGGTGGTTGGTGTATATACCAAATGGACGAGACTACTAGTCCCGTCCATTTGGTTTGAAATAAATTGCCCGTGGCAAAATCGACCCTGTTGAGATAAAAAAGGTCGATTTTGCTGTTTTTTTAATGAGAAGGTCGATTTTGCTTATTAATTTTGCAAAACGGTTGTTTTCAAAAATTTATTTTCTACTATATCCTAGGAAAAAAATTTACATTAACCTGAAGCAAACTTGAATTACCAAATAGGGCAAATATTTCTTTAAGGAAAATATTTCAAGCCTCAGAAATTTTGTCTCCTTCTTCATTTTTACTAGCAAGTAGTTAAGTCAGGAAAATTCAGTGTGACATATTTTAAGATATATAAATTTCAAGGGAATAAAATTTTGAAAACAACCGTTTTGCAAAATTAATAAGCAAAATCGACCTTCTCATAAAAAAAACAGCAAAATCGACCTTTTTTTATCTCAACAGGGTCGATTTTGCCACGGGCAATTTATTTCAAACCAAATGGACGGGACTAGTAGTCCCGTCCATTTGGTATATACACCAACCACCTCCCCACCAGTGAGCCCCTTCCCCTGAAACAGATCTCCCCACCCGTGAGCCCCTCCCCTCAAAATATCCCCCCCTCCTCCCTCAGATCTCATAGCCCCCTCCCCTCTTTCCTCCCCTCAAACAACACAAGTTGTTATCACCCGGTGCGTCGTCCGGCGAGAGCGAGGTCCGAGATTTTCTCGACAAGTGCTTGAAGAGGAGGTCGGAGGAGCGGTGGACGGCGGAGGAGCTGCTCCGGCACCCATTTCTTGAGGCGGAGACTGCACCGGAGCTTTCGCCAAGGTGTGTTCTTGATTGGGTCAGCTCAGAATTTGACGACGACGACGATGAGGAGGAGGAGGAGGAGGAGGTTGATGATGATTTGACGAGACTGGCGATGGAAAGGATAAGGGGGTCGGCTGGGGACAGTGAAGGATGGGAATTGGTGAGAGCAAGAACAGAGGAAGCTCTGATTTCAATTCCAGCTGCAGTAGTGAATGCAAATCCAGTGTTTTTCTTACTTTGGCTTTGCAGTTGTACAGATTTGGTGAATTAGGATTTTTGATTTTCAAGTTTTTTGTTTCCATGGTAGTTTCATGGCTGTTTGAGGGGGGGAGGTCGAGGTGGGTGACGGAGGAGAAGGAGGTGGTTGGGAGACGGGGATTTGACACGAAATGGACGGGACTACTAGTCCCGCCCATCTGGTTTGAAAAAAATCACCCGCAGCAAGATCGACCCTCTTGAAATAAAAGAGGTCGATTTTGCAGTTTTTTTTGTGAGGAGGTCGATTTTGCTCATTAATTTTGCAAAATGGTTGTTTTCAAAAATTTGTCCTTAAAAATTTTAGTAAGCATATATGAAACTTTTCACAAATTCTTTGTGAAACAAGTTTGTAGGATGCATATTTTTTGAGAAAGGAGTAAGTATTGATGTTTGAAATCATTATAGGGTTGAAAAAGTGTCTCCAACAATTATAAACTTTCAAAACACCCATTGGAAAAAAACAGTCATTTTCCAACAGACTACTTCTAGCAGTCATTTGTTTGTTGATATTTTTATAAATTTAAAATTTTAAAATAACAATAGCATTAATAATTAAAATAATATATTAAAAAAAAGCTCAAATATCCGATGTGGGACTATATTATTTTTACAAACAAATACTAGCATTTGTGCATCATAACTGATGACATTTGACAGGTATCAATTTACTGAATTAAATTTCTAACCAAAAGTTTGTATTTGTGATTTAGATATATTCAAAAAGTTCAAGGAAGGGGAAGTATTCATGAAATGCTTAAGCCAAGATGTGAAGGGTTTGCTGAGCTTATATGAAGCTACTCACCTCTCGATTCCTGGGGAAAAAATATTAGAAGAAGCTAAGGAATTTTGTGCGAAGCATCTCTCGAGTGTAAGCCAAGATGTGGATATAAATATAGCTAAGCAAGTGAGACGTTCTCTTGAGGATCCTACACATTGGTTGATCCCGAGATTGGAAACAAGATATTACATTGAGGAGTATGAAAAAGAGGAGGAAATGAGATCTTGTTTGCTTGAGCTAGCCAAGTTAGACTTCAATGCTGTGCAAGCCGTGCACCAAAAGGAAATCAAGGAATTATCGAGGTAATTAAGAGCTTGACTACATAGATCCCCCCCACTCTCCCGCCTCCCTTCCTCCCTCCCTTTTGGATATTTTTTGCTTTTAGGAAAAAGAAAGTATCAAGTGGTGTCTCATTATTTTAAATGATCAACTAAGCGAGACACATTATGCTATTTAGAGTAGAACATATATGTTATTTTTGAGATGCAAGCCTAGAGGAGGGCTAAATAGGTTTGCTATAGTTTTTCGGTAAAACACAAAATAAGTAGCAAATATATAGAAAATCAAAAGCGAACAACCAAATTGAAAACCAACCTAGTAACACGTGACATTTTTATAATGGTTTGGATAACAATCATGTGTCCTCTCTTATTATTCGAGCTCAAGTCGCTTTCTGATTCTTCATCTTCACTTGAGAAATCCTACAGAGTTACCTTGAAGCTCTTATTCTTTCTTTTATAATCACTCTTGTTGAGAGGACATTCCTTTATGTAGTGTCCGAGTTTGTTGTAATGATGGCAAATAATTTCATAATCTAAATTTTATATTTAGCTTAATTTCCTTAATGAAATTTTAGTTTCGTCTATTATGCATTAACTTTTGCCCATCTTTTATCTTTAGGAATCATTTGTGTCCTTTTACTAACAATCTCATTTCACTCCCATTATCACCATTAGAGTCTGAGCTTCATTCTACCTTTTTCTTGGATCATTACTTCTCCTTTTTAGCCTTAAGGACTAATGACTACTTCTTTGAATCATCTTTATTAACATATTCTCTCTTTGAATCAAGCTTCATATGTGACAAAATTACCTACAAGTTTTTCAGGAGTTAAAATGAGTTTTTTTTTATAATTCCTCAATAGATCTGTTACTTTTGGTTCCCAATCTTTACAAAGAGAATGAAGAATTTTTCTAACAGCGCTATGTTACAATATTTTTTTTCCTAAAGCTTTTGATTTGTTCACAATGTCAGTAAATAGGATGAACATATCCTAAATCTAAGGCGTTCATCTTTAAAAAACTCATATTTGCTGATAAGCATCATGAATTTTTCCTCTTTCACCTGTGATATTCCCTCGTGTGTAATCTCCAATTAATGTTTTTCAGATTTCCTACGCAGTGTGCAATATAACGTACGAGTTCGAAAAAATTTCTATGGTCAATGTTACCCTTTACTATTTTAAATATTCTAATCATAATTATATCATATCCTAATACTACGTGAATTACCTATAGCTCGATAATTTTAAAAAATAAGATTAATAAAATACATCAAACATCTCCACGGTATTAGTTTGTTAAGATAAAGAACTAACATTCCATAATGTATGAAGTATTATAAAAAACCCAAAAAGTTTTAGAAATTGAACAAAATATCCACAAAATTTTAAAATTATACAAAACATTGTTTCAAAACTTTAAATAACAAACATGAAATCTAAAAATTAACAGCAGCCTCTAAAGAATTTAAAATTTATAATTAACACTCTTAACATTTTAAAATTTTTAGAAACACTCTCTAAAATTTAAATAATAAAAAAGCAACATGAAATCATAAAATTTCAAACAGAAAAGTTGAATTCGGGACATTAGCATCGGGCACCTGAAATTTTAAAGTTTGGAAAAAAAATAACCTCAGAGTTATAAAAATTGTAAAAAAACTCATTCACAAATTAAAAATCATAAAATATCTTAAATTTCCAAAACTTATAACCAGTACATATCAAATCTTAATATTACCAATGGAATGCTAAAAATTTAAATTTTATAGAAAACAATCCAAAGTTTCAATAGTTACCAAAAACACTCTCAAAATTTCAAAGTTATAAGAAATATTCTAATATTTGAAAACTTACCACCAACATATGAAATATACAAATTATAAGTATCCAACTTAAAATTTATTTTTTAAAAAAAATACACTCAAGGTTTAAAAATTTGCACAACACAACCTCAAAATTTCAAAATCACAAAAAAAAAGACTAAATTTTCAAAACTCGGCAAAGAAAAGAGTAGTTCTTTGATATCCTTTCATTAAGATATATAAATTTAACTTCAATTTAAGGTTTACTATCCCTTTTTAGCATTTAAAAGTACCCTAATTTTATCAAAAAGATAAATATAGAGAAGGATTGATGTTCGTCAATAAAAAAATAAAACAGAAGGAATTGAAGACACTATTTTTTAAATATTTTATAGAATAGTCTATTATTTTTTTTGAGTAACTTAGGAGTCTTTAGAAGGGATTTACGTGAACCTTTTTAGTACTTTTGTATGGTTATGTGCATGCTTTCATCATATGGAGGTGTACTAGAGTTAGCATTAGTCTTTAGTTTATAATTTTTTTTAAAGTCTATCAAGAGTTAAGAATAAACATCATATCTCTTTTGTGTTATTTTAGCTCATTTTTAATGAATTATCTGATCTTATTGCTTTAATTGTTCATCTTCATTTTATAATGCTATTTTAAGTATCTTTTTTTACTTTTGTAATATTACACTTCCTCAGGTCAAACTTAGTTTCATGTCAGTCCAAATAACATGATAATTCAAATTAGCTTTGGATTACATTCGTCTCCTGTCAATTAAGTTATAAATATGAAAATTAAATTGGGTGTAGTTCATTTAAATGAACATCAAAGAAAATAAATAATCACATGCTAAAGTTTAGATATCTACGTGTGCAAAAATTATCAAAGTGGAATGGAGGAACAAATTTTAGTAAGGAAATAAATTGAAAATACTTAATCATGGTGTTTTACCACGTGCGTTGCATGTGCATAAAACCTAATATAAAATAACAAGATCAAGATGTACTTCTTCAATACATAAATTTCCTTGAAATCTAATTTGCATTTCAAAAATTCTAAAATCAATATGCATTGATTAATTATAAAATTACTGCAAAAAACTTAAATTAAGAACTAATTTTGAGGCCCATATGGATCATGACAAGGTGAAAAATAATAAAAAAATTATATTAAAATGAAGGAAAATCAAAGGAGAAATTTAGAATGAGAAATATAATTTTATGTGATAGACATTTTAATTTTATAGAAAACACAAACCCTACAACCTCTCAAATTATCCTCATGTGGATTTCCTCTTATGTTTTTATCTCTTTCTCCTAATGTGAATTTCTTTTTATGTTTGTTTTTGTTTCTCCTCATTTTGGCCTTTTTTATGTTTTCTTGTCACTTTCTCCTCAAAGTCAAATACAATAATAGACGTAATAACAATATACCAATATCATCTTGTAATTCTTATCCTTACTGAATTTTTGAGGGAGTGGAGGTGTTACCTGTAATTTTTCTAAATTAAAATGAAAATCCAATGGCTCTTAGTGCTAATAAAGGAGCTGAGCTGGTTTAAGTGAAACTGATGATATAGGTGAGGGCAGTTATATACAATTATTCTAACCCAAGTATTTTTTTATAAATTCTAGTAATTTTAAATTTTTGTAAAAATTTAGACATTGATTAGATTTGAAATTACTTCAAGAGTATTAACTTTTACCTGAATATATTGACTATTATTATAAAAATTAAACATAAAACATTTTTTTGGTCAATGAAATAAATTTTATTCATTTACCAAATGTGAATGTTGTGTAGTACATCAATATTTCTAGTATAAAGATCGGTGTCAACTAACTCAGATGCCACATATTACATTCCCTGAAGTTCCTCTTTTATATGAAGTGGAATTTTTTTCATTCAAAACTTTTGAATAGATGGAGATCTTCACAGCACGAAATAAGAGTTCAGGCTCCCGAGATTTGTGTTGAAAGACTATCAAGTTCCTTTCCTGCCATATCAAGTAAACTATAAACGATGGAGGCATTCTTTTCAGTTTCTTCTTAAAACCAAACCCCTTCAAATTGAAACTATACCAATTATGATTTGATTCCAGTTGCTAGCCCTCCAAGCATAGTCCAACCAATCCATAACTTTGTTCCAAACAAGAGCAGAGTATTGACATTCAAAGAAGAGATGTTGACAGGTTCCATTTGATGATTAGAACATAAGACACACTGATTTGTGTCTAACATACTCATTCGGCATAGTTTGTCCTGTGTTAAAGTCTAGAATGAGAGACTAACCACAGAATAAAAGAGTGTTTAGGATAATGCAATCCACCCCAAATTGTTTCAGACCATGTAATGTTGATTGAATTAAAACCTTGTATATAGAGGATTTTTGAATGTTACCGCTGGTGCAACAACCATTGATAATATTTAGTAGATTGTCAACACTACCAAACTTATCTCTTACCATATCCCTTACCCTGATGAGTTGCTTCAGAGTAAGTTGCTTCCACATCCATGAGTCACCCTCCTTAGCTTGAACCTGCCGGATATTGAATTGCCGCAGATAATTGCCATGGACCTATTTGAGCCAAAGTAGATATTTTTTGAGATGAATTATCCATAGAAGCTTAGTCGCAACTGCATAATTTTAGGATTTTGTAGAGAATAATCCCTGACCTCCTTGCTTCTTATCCTGACAGATAGATGCCCAGAAAACCAAGTGAATTTTCTGTCCCCAAAGGAAAGCAGAGCACATGCTATCAATTTTCTCCAGCACTTTGATTGTTAATATATAGTTACTGTTTCAGAAAATTTGAACTCCCAATATAACTGACTTAATTAGTTGTAACCTTTCAGCATATGACAGTTTCCTCTTATTTTGCCAGCTCTGAAATTGTTCAGATACCTACTGATCAGTGGAGAGCAATCCAGACAAGATAATCTCTTTAAGATTAATGGCAAAACATAAAACTTTTGTTGATATAATCTCTGTTAGTGTAGCTTGTATATATACAACATATGTACAATTTGCTTATGTATATATGAAACATGTAGCATTCTTTTGCATAAACATTAAAATGGAGTTGGCACGTGCATTCCACGTGTCCTCTTCATTAGTCTTATACTATTATAGAAATCTGTAGGTTGTCAAAATATTTTCTTCCAAATATTGCCCTCAAACACATACAGACATCATAAACACACATACATCC